CTCTTCTAGCGCATGCGCGCATAGTAGAGTGCAGTTGCTAGAAGTCTTGCACGTGCTTTTGTTTACAATTTGAACTTAGCTGCACGGTAATTAGCCAGCCTTTAGTACACCCAAATTTTTAACCCTGCTCTAGTTTTTCACTGTGCATTTAACTTTTATTCTATTATATTTATTTTTTTATTACTTTATCATCATTATTATTAATTTTTATACTTATTTAATTTCATTCTTCCTGTAAATTTTTGTTTGTGCTTATTTACTGATAGCCATCTATTGTACTCTGTTTCCATACCTTGTTAAGTTCGTTTAGGATTTTATTTCTGTATATGCAATTATTCTGTGTATTGTATGCATTGTATGAGAAATAGGCTCTGTGGCTGGTTTCTTCACAGCATTCAGTTCCGTACATTTAGCATTTGTGACGGAAATTAATGAGTTTTCTGTAAATTCCATTCACTTCTCATTTACTTGTCACCTTGTACCCGTGCACGCTAACTGTTGGCAGCGCTTTCATTGCACGCACTTATATTTAATTGTATTGCCTTAGATTATGTAACTGTACGCTTTTTATTGTAATTCTGCATATTAACTGTCATTGTCTGCATTCATCCTAATTAATTAGACAAGCTTTAATTAGCTATAACTGATTCCCTTATATTTCGCTAAACATAACAACGCTAGTTCTCTCTTTTTTTTTTTTTTTTTCTTATCTTTAATTTGAACCGGGGAATATTCAGTAGACACTTAAATTTTGCAATTTAAATTCAGTTGTCTATACATATATATATAATGTAAGAAAGGCATACTAACTTAACTTAAAAGAAACTTCATATTAAAATAATAACTACTACAAGCTGCTATTTTTTTGGTTTATACTATAGTATTATAATAATATGTATAGTGTAGTATTAGTGCTATGGTGTTTAGTATAGATATATATAATAATATACATCTATATGTAACCAATCTGTACACGCATTGTAATATTTGGTTTATAATAATAGTATATACATTATAGTATTTGTGCTGTGGTGTGTATTATTATAGTGTATATATTGTAGTATTTGTGCTATATTTTAGTATACATATGTGTTATATTTTAGTAATTTCGTGTGACACTCTGTGATTTGTGCCTTTACTTAACACTCTCCTACCTTGCACATGTGCCACTCGGAACTGTGAATCAGCGTAAGTACTCATTACCTGGTGAAAATAAGTGATTAATGACCTAGCGAATTAGTGGCCTATTGACGAACTCTGATCTAGTGACAGTAACACAGATCTTCGCAGTGCTACTTTTCAGTGATTTAGTGTAAATTCGGCTGACAATGATTAATACAGATACCTCTGCAGTTCTAAATACATCCAACCTCGATTCTCTAGTAAATTCCAGTGTCGTGTCTCACGAAGAAAAGATTGAAACATTGCACGCAGAGTGCACTCGTATAGCGCAAGTAAAACGAGGAGGGAAACCTCTGCTTCCCTTATACATACGGAGTAGCTTACTGGAAACACTACAGGCCCTTAAGTCTCTGGCACTAGAAGGTCCCTTCTGTAGGGTATCACCACAGATCAAGGAAGCCTCAAAGCCTCAACCAATACGGATCACGTGGTTACTAAGAACGCAGAAGTTGCTGTTAACTCAGACACACTGCAAGAAGCATCTCATATTTCTCCTCCTCATCCTACCTTTGCTGAAATCCTCAAACAAAGAAGTCCCTCATTAAGACAGACCAAACAGCCCAGCTTGCTGATTGCGCCAAAGAAGAACATTTCACACATTGAGCTAAGAGAAGAATTACGCGCAAAGGCGCCGATTTCTAAACTTCCAGTGGCTGTGGAAAAGATTGTAGTGCACAAGAAGGGCGGCTTCGAGGTGTTCTGCAAATCCTCGGATGACCTCACACTCCTGGAGGCACAATTACAAAGAGCGGAAATTCCGGCAGACTTTCAACACCCTGCAAGACGAAAGCCACGTTGTACAGTACACAATGTTGCAGAGGACACGAAGCCAGAGGAACTCGTGGATGAACTCAGTACAGCCACGGCAGCCCCAAGAAACACCTTTAGACCGCTCTTCAAGCTCAAGGAACGCAAGGAAAAAGAACGTCAAATGGGTCTTTGAATGTGACCCGCATAGCTTCGCAGCAGCTCTCCGAATCAGACATTTATACACAGGATGGCATGCACACACCATCCGCGAATATCTCGGGATCAAGCGCTGCTTTAAATGTCAACAGCTTGGCCACCTACAAGTCTCGTGTCCTTGCAAATACCAGTACTGCGCGTACTGTGCAGGTCCACACCACGTGCGAGACTGTCACGCACGAAAACCAGCATGCATCAATTGTGGGGACGCAAATCATAAGCACGGAATGCAGTACGATACCAGGCACCCAGCTTACCACCATGCCTGTCCTGAGTATCAGAGAACAGCAAAACGAGTCAGAGATGCCACGGAATATTAACACAGACAATAATGTCAACGCCCAGACGCAAGACACGTCTGTTTGGTCATTTCCCTACACGAGCAGATCCAATGACTGATTTCAACATACGACACATTGACCAAAGTGCACTAAAAATAGTTCAGATTAACCTGCAAAGAGCTAGAGCAGCAACGGCGCAAGTCATTCAGTACGCCATGGAAACGGAAACAGACTTCATCTTAGCCCAGGAACCTTACCTTTACGACAACAGAGTGTCCGATTTTCCTCTCTCGTGGACTGTATTTCAGGGCAATACTGCCGAAGGCCCGCGAACGGCAATAATATGCTGCCAACAGAAATGGTCTCCCACCATCGTTCTAGCCTCACGCGATGTAATAACTATAGCTGTAGAGACATTAAACATCAATGTGCTTATCACGGATGTTTACCTTTCACCATCTGAAGACATGACACACTCCTTGGAACTAATTCAGAGAACTCTTGTACAATATCCCAGTGCGTCACATCTGCTTGCAGGTGACTTTAATGCGCACTCGAAAGTTTGGAACTACCCAAGCACAGACGCAAGAGGGAGAACCATAGAAGATTTCGTGGCCAGCAATGATTTAACTTTGCACAACACTGAAGACAGTCCTCCAACGTATGAAACGGTTCATGGTAGGGGTTGGCCTGATCTAACCTTGACCTCAGCTTCATTGGCCCCATTTATCCAACAATGGACGGTGCAAGACTTACCATCCAACTCTGATCATTTGTATATTACTTACAATATTTGCCATCCACATACGAGAATGACCCTCAAGCGCTATAAGCTTACAAAGCGAAAGACTGCACAATTCATAAACAAAGTTCGTTTTTCCCTTAGAAGCGCAGAGGAAGATCTCACAGCATGCACTACATCCCAGGACCTGGAGTCGTTCACCAGCTCTCTGATCTCCACAATACAGGACATCTGCAACAGTACTTTTTCCCTGAAGACACGGAAAACGCTGCATATGCCGAACTGGTGGACGAAAGATCTCCGAGCGCAGCGCAGTAAAACACGCGCAATGAGAAGGCGCATGAAAGCAGAATACGACCAGGAAGCTAGGCTGGCACTCAGCATCTCATACCGAAAGGCGCAAGCGGAATATAAAAGAGCAATTCTTAATGCAAAGCTTGCGTGTTGGAGAAACTTTTGCACTAATAACACCGATATTTTATGGTGCGCTATTCAAAATAGCACGAGGTAGTGTCTTTAAACCGCCACAGCTTCGCCTTTTTGACAGTTCACCACCCGAGCAAGAGACTACAAAGGAGGCAGTACTCTCCAAAATCCTGGATGCAGTCTTTCCCAACGACAGTCAGGAGGAATTCACAGAAAATTCTCACCTGGCATACCAGCTCTTCACGACGGCAACTGACGATCCTCCCTTTCAGGATCCGGAAGTCAACGCTATCATGCGTATTCTGCCCAAGCGAAAAGCACCAGGCCCTGACTCGCTTGATTACAGCATAGTCAAAGCTGTACACAAGGCAAAACCCGGATTCCTTTGCAAGTATTTCAACAAATTGCTGGAGCACAGGTATTTTCCAGTGGCATTCAAAACGGGGCAAGTAGTCCTCTTTGCCAAACCTGAGAAGCATCCGAATGACCCTACCTCCTTTCCGCCCGATATGCTTGTTGTCGGCAATAGGGAAGGTTTTAGAAAAACTTGCAGTCACCAGACTAAAGCATCACCTCACCCGGAAAAAATTCTTGTCGCAGCTACAATTCGGTTTCAGGGAAAGCATATCAACGGTCCATGCCCTTGATCTTCTTCAGAAAGAAATCACGGAAGCTCGCAGTAACAATCAACACGTAGCAGTACTAAGTTTAGATCTCCAAAGTGCATTTGATTCCCTGTGGTGGCCTGCTGTGCTCGAAGCCCTGCACACAGCTGATATTCCAAACAATCTTTTACAGTTTTTTAAAAGTTACCTCAGCAACAGAAAATTCATAGTTGTGCACGACGGAGGAATCATTACCAGACAACAGACCAGGGGCTGTCCACAGGGATCATGCGCTGGTCCTGTCCTATGGAACGTGACTTTCAATTCGATCTTGTGCACTCAGTGGCCGGAAGGAGCGAAGGCATTTGCATTTGCAGATGATGCTACATTCATCGTCAGAGGACACAGCAGGCACGTTCTCGAAGCCCGCTGCAATGACGTTATCTCGCAGTTTGACATGCTCTGCAACCAAAAGAAGCTACGAATCTCGGAGCTCAAGTCGAAATATATAATATTCCATAAACCTGGCCAGACACTCCTTCGCAATCCATGTATTAACCTTAGACAAAAGAGAGTAAAACGAGTGAAAGAACTAAAGCTTCTCGGCTTATTAATCGATGAAAAACTCTCCTGGCTCCCTCATTTGCGAGCTCAACGCATTAAAGCTCATAGAATAGCCTCCCGAATAAAGGGCATGCAAGGCTCAGACTGGGGCTCCGGCCCCACATCCTAAAGATAATATACAGCACAGTGGTAGAAAAAATACTTATCTATGGAGCGGCCATATGGGCACTTCCAATGACTACAAGGAAGCAACAAATTTTGAACAGCGTTCAACGCCCATTTGTTTTGGCCATCACGAGGGCCTACAGGACCACAGCGACTGCAGCAGCCACAGTGCTGGCTGGACTTATTCCACTGCACATACGGGCCCAAATGGAAGCGGTCATCGCAAAAGTTACTCTCCTTAAGCAACCTGCTCAATACCAGAACCTCCATTTCTCACCGGAGGACTTTGAGAGCAATCTACAAGTTGCGGAAGTACACCCGGCCCTTTTCTGCAAGAATGTCCATGCTTATACAACGATGCTTGAAGACAACAACGATCACTCTAATGCCCTTAAGATTTATACAGATGGCTCCCAGGTGAATGGAACGACAGGCTGTAGCTATACCATCAAACGAAATGGAAGCACCTTAAGGTCTTGGAAAGGCTTTCTGGGCGCAGGCAACTCGGTCTTTCAGGCGGAAGCCGAAGCCATACGCCAGGCAATCCTAGCAGCGAGTCAATTTAGCTACTCCACCGCAGAAATACACACCGACAGCCTGTCAGCAATTCATGCAATTCGGAATCCTTTTCACAGGTCGCCCATCATAGGGCGCATTCAGCAAACCCTGCACCAGTACGAAGGACGCATCCTCATCTTCTGGATTAAAGCACACGCTGGACACCAGGGGAATGAGGAGGCAGATTTACTAGCCAAAGAAGCCGCGAGCAATCTCGATGCGGAACAACTGGCAATAAAATTACCAAAATCCTATGTAAAGAAGGCTGTTCTAAACGCCGCACTCAAGCAATGGCAGGAAGAGTGGAATTCTATTCCGCAAGGAAGAAGGACCTACGAATTCGCTCACAAAGTCAGCCTTGAGAGACAGATATCTCAGCCACACATCACCAGATTTATAACGGGTCATGGTCCATTCCCCGAATTATTTTCTAGAGCGAAGAATAACAAACACCAACATCTGTGTGTGTGGCCAGCCAGGTAGCCCGGACCATTATGTCACCTTCTGCCCACTAACACGAGAGTGGCACATGCCGTTTTACAACACAGATCCAGCCTATAAAAGATTCTTTCATTCGCCAACCAGCGGTACTTAAAAAACTCAAAAGTATTATGGACAGACTGCAAGCATTAGGCCAGGACTTGTGTGATTCGGCTTAACCACAACCCTATCCTTTATGTAAATGTATATTAATGTATAAGTGTATCATTTCTATTACTGTATGTATAGCCACTTAGGATGATACACGATTACGTGTTACCATTATTCTTCATCTATCGTATAATGTATAAGTGCCATTTTCAGTATTTCATTTCCATTAATGTATAAGTCTTTAAGTGTATCATTTGTACTAATATATATGTATAGCCAAGTAAGGTAATACACGA